TTTTGAAAAAAAAAAAAAAAAAAAAAAAGGGGGGGCTTTTATAAAAAAAAAAAAAAAAAAAAAAAGAGAGAGAGAGAGAGAGAGAGAAATAAAAGAGACAAAGAGAATACATCTGATTCTAAGAAAAAGATCTCTCACTGGCAATTCCCACAGCTCTCTGAACTCAGTGTCAGCCTCTATGCAACAAGAGTTCTCCCTAGTCTACAGGAGAAAAAAACCTCATGTCTGATCTTACAGAACGTTTAATTCATTAAAGAATTATTATGCTCATAGCTGATAGCATTAGCCACCAAAAGCCATACCTCAGCCAAACCGGCACTTCTTACTGCACAGCACAGAACCGAAGTAGCAGACAGAGCTGATGGGACTGAGTCTTGTCACGAGCAGTGGGGCTGGAGCGCTGGCCGGGCTTCCGCCTAGACGCGAAGAGCAGCAAGGTACCTTCTGCCGGCATGTCACGATACCACACGAAAAACGGGTGACGGCGACGTTGCCACAAGAGGCAGGGCGATGTGCCCGGAGGGCTCACCACGGAGGGGCGCGCGGGGGCGCTGAGCGGGAGCCGCAGCGTGACCTCCCTGGCGCCGGCCCGGCTGCCATGGCAACCGTCGAGGCGGACGCGCCTTCCCGCGCTCGCCGGCTGTTCCCCGCTGTCAAGTGAGTCCCTGCGCCCGCGCTCTCCTGCCCGGAGAGCTCGGCCGAGCGCTCGCCCTCCCCCGGCATGCACCGGCCCGGCCCGCGCCCCCTCTGCCGCCGCGGCTCGCTGCGCCCCCTCGCAGCGCTGCGCCCTTGACCTCGTCTGCCCCCGCGCCAGGCCTGGCCTCCATCCGGCAGCTTCTTTGTGTGTCACCAAATGCCTGGCAGGAGTCTTGCGGTTTTCTCGTGGCGAGCATGAATACGTAAAATAAAACCGGGGAATGCCACCCAAGGGTGCTTGTTTGCCGAGGGAACACTTTCAGATCTGGACACACAGCCCACTCCAAGGGAGAAGGTGTGGAAGGGTGCTTTTGGGAGCAAGTAGTACATCTTTAACAGAGAAATCCCTTTTCTCCAAAATACTTGTGAATACATGGATTTAAATATTGATTCTCTTTTGCTTCTCTCAACGGCTCTATCTATCATATGTTCTACGACTGCACTACTGCTATCTGGCAAGTTTTTGTTTCATTGGTTGGGTTTTTTTTTCCCTAGGCGTGCAGTAGCTTTGTGGTTTTTTTAAAGAGGAAACAACTCTCTGCCCTGTGAATTTGAAAAAGTCAGTCTCCCCAAATCTCTTCTCTATAATGAAAAAGTAAATAAAGGTCAAATATTCTCTTCCTGTCTTCCATTTTGCAGGTTGCCACTACAGCTGTAAAATTAGTGTTTGCACCCCACGCAGTCTACCGGGAAACTTTAAAAGCCTAGGCAATGCAGGAACAGGCATGGCTGGGTGTTAACTGAACTGTAATGAGCTTAACAAGATATTGGTGTCTGTCAAATTAATCAGATTAATAAGACAGCAAGAACCACATCATTAACGTGGATGCCTTATCCACTGCAAAATCCTTTAGTTTCTTTTATCAAAAGTATATGACAGTGATTCTTAGACTTTAAAAAGTGGCACATACTCTGAGGTGTTCGACACTTGCTCATTTTTTTCTTGAAAACTGTCACTGATAAAATGTGAATGGGTATGGTTTCAAGGGGCTGACAGGGAATAGTTGGCCTAAGAACAAAAGGAAGGTAGCTATTTTTCTGCTGCTTTTTGTCTGTAATAAGACATTACAGTAGAGTATTTGTGACCCTCAGGTTTCTTTATCAATACCGTCCCTTTGATGGTCACAACCTACCAAGAGAGATGCACTGACAGTCATAATGTGAACTGAACTTTTGCTGCTTTTGATTCTTTCAGGTTTGTCATCAAAGGAAGCCTGGCTGGAGCTGCTGTGTATGTGGCATATGATCAGGGGCTGCTGGGCAGTGGCACACAAGGTGCTGAAGCCCTCAAAAAAGCTCAAGCAGCACTGCCTCCAGCTATCCAAGAGTGGACAAGTTACATAGGCTGGGAGGTAAGAACTGTGCAGGTGAACACAGTCAGCAAAACAAACACATTCTCTGAATGAGGAGGAGAAAACACTGGGGTGATATTCTGTTTCCAGTGATGCTGGCAGGAGTTTTGCTGTTGAAACTGGATTTCACATTGAGAATATTTTGAAGAGGATTGAAAGGAAAGGAGGATAAAATTTTAAATTTAGGGGAGAGACATTGCTCACAGATGTTATTTCAAAGGAGAACGGTAACTAGCCTATGCAGGGTCAAGGAGGGGATTGCAAGCATGCTCTGGGAGATATTTTACTACATAGTGGTATTCCTAAGCTTTTTTTGAAGGATCCTATATGCTTTTAACAAATTAATGAAAAGATTCTCCTCCCAGTTTCTCAAGCTGCTAACAGTTCATCAAGTTGAATTTAAATTGCCTGAAGAGGCCCTTCTCTTTGAGTAATTCTTAGTTTTTAAAATCCTCAGAACAGGAGAAGCTTTTGCTGAAAGTTTGAAAAGCATTTTTCATATTAGAGACTATTCTAAATTAATAGATAACTGTAAGGAGACAGCCATGGAGATTTTTCAGGAGCACCCAAACGATAAGTACTGCCTTCTGCCCCTACTTTATACTGGGGGAAAGAGCAAAGTCCAGACTTTAAGCCTCATGTCTGATCCCTTTTGAGACTTATGGAGAGTAGGCACCTAAGTGTCTTTGAGATCTGAGGTCAAGAGGCTTCTCCAAGGTGAAGTGAATCCTGCTATAAGTGAAATCCCTCAAGTGCTGTTATTTTGTCTCTTTCTCTTTCTAGCTCCCACCCACTCCAAAATTTGACTTTTCCCCCTCTGATTCCTGGAATAAAGGTAAAAATAACTTCTCACCAAACTTGGAAAGGAGCAAGGGGCCAAGAGCAATGTAGCTTATACTAGTCTTGTTTCAATACTGTCATCTTAAAGTGAATGATGGAGAAGGAGGTGATAGATGTTACAGTCTGGTAGAAGGAGCATTGGGCCTGGGACTGAGGAAGCATGTTCTGCTCCAGGTTTTACCACTAGCATACTGAGTGACTTTGGACTTAATTTCTTGTTGTTCCAACTGTGAAATAAGGAGAAGGATGTGTGCCCGTAAACCTGTCTGCCTTTTCTAACCAGAGGAGCTGGTGTTTCTTTTACCTACAAAGCTTGCTGCCCACCTGTGCCCCGAGACAGGCATGCCTACACTATCCTAGAATCTAAGATTGAATGTTTCAGTGAGGTGTTTGGGGAGGCCTGTGGCCACCACAATAAATAGATCGAGTTTATGCACCAGTGAGTTCATCAGCACCGGTAGTGATGAGGGAAACTAGAGCATAAAAATAAATGATGACTTATTCTTAAGAAAAGGTGAACCTTTGGTTAGAGATTGAAGAGCTCATAAACTCTTCAGATGCTAGTATGTCACTTTTTCAGAAGGGATGAGTATTCCCATTATTATTAGAATTTTAGAGATCTTGTTTGAAGGCCAAAACATGTTATAAATACCTAGTAAGTTAATTTATAGTTTTTATGGTGCAGCAAAAAGTCTTCATGTAATTTATGGGGAAACATGGTCCACAAATACTGTGACATGTCCAACATCACCCACAGAGCCTGTGGCAAGGCCAGAAATAAAATGGAACTTAGCTCAGTTCTTTGTTTCAGTCTTGTAATTGTCCGTCCCTTATACTGGTCCTGAAGTTGGAATTTCTCTGTGTCACAAGTGCTGCTGAGACAATAAAGCATACTTGAATCAAGGATCATTCAGGCCTCAGCATGTTTTAAAGCTTCTGAGATAGAGCTAGATTTTTCTCTCCGTGTTTAAAAAGAGCTACAATGCTAGAATAACATTAGGAAATTTGGCTTGAATTATGCTCTTCTTGGGATAATTCTTCTCTGCTTTCCTTGCAGGAGTGCAGACAGTCATGTCTGCCTTGTCTGTAGCTCCCACCAGGGCCTGTGAATACACTGTGGAAGGCTGGAAGTATGTGAAGGATCTTGTCAAATGAACACGTTCTCCAGGGTTCATGATTCTTCCATCCTATGTTGTCTTTGGGATGATGCATAGTCCATCCCTCTAGAGGGCAGCTCAGTCATGCAAGGGTGACAATAAAAGACTTTGGAACTTCCATTTGTATTTGGGTTGGTTTTAGCATACAGACTGCAATAATTGCTTTCTGTCTTACCAGTGATCAGGGGCTTCAGCAGAGATCATGGATCAGTTGTAATGAAGTGATGGCCATATGCTGAGGTATAGCCCCTGTTCTAAAGCTGCCAAGCCTGCTAACTAAACAAATTATTCTGAAGCTGAATTAATCTTGAAGGTGAATGCCATCTAATTCAAAACAAGCCAACAAGAGTTTAAAAAAAAATAAAAAATCCAAGGTAACAGTAAAAGATGTCGTTCGAAGACAAAGCACTTGCCTTCAAGCTAGCTGAGGAAGGAGTGCCTCTGTCAGATAAAGAGCACATTATTGATGTGGAAGCTGCTTCCAGGTGATCTGTGACAACTGGGAGTAGCCAGTACTAGTTGCAATACTTGTTGTTGATGACAGTGTGCGATAGAAGGGAGTTTATAAGTCTGTGATGCAAAACTCTAGCAAGTCATAGGAAACTTAACACGCCCCTAAGTCTATTTGGCCTATGGGCATTGCCAGTGTACCTAGTACCTGAGCCTGAACAGCAAAATCACAGTACTGTTTAACTGGAACTTTTCCAGCAACTGATCCAAATATGCCCTTGGATGCATAGTCAATGACCAGTAACACTGTCAAATTTACACCTGTATCTGAATTCTCGGCTCCACAGCATAGGTTATTTGGAGGCAAGGGTTTAGATTTTAAATTTTACCAGCTGTTGGCTAAAACTAAGTGGATTCAGTTTGTCTCTGGACTTGAAAAAGTATTCTGTGTGCTGGCTTCTTTAAATGCCTGTAAAATAGGGCTGGAAGTATCTTGAAGATACGGGCACCTCTGTGTGTAAAGCTTTTTGGCAACTGAGCAAGAGAGAAAATGGAAACGGGAAGGATCTCCAATCACAGCAGAGTCCCCATGGAAGGGAGAATGAGGCTGAGGGATTTTTCTACTTCATCTAAACATAGTTCCCCCGTGAAGAATTAGGCAGAGGTACCTCAGGAGCAGAGCCCATTAACTGCAACTATGCGTATCATAAGTTCTTTGCAAAGGAACAATGCTGTTCTGCATCTGAACTGTGAACAAATACATGAACGTGAGCTAATCTTGGAGCTGGCCACTGAATAACTCTGCAATCTGTGTGGACATTATTTCATTTCCTTATTTTTTGAATGCCTAGAGACTTCAAGCTGTGTTTTCCTACCAGACTTTCTCCTAGTTTTTGCATGAATAAACACAGAAATGTGATTTTTTTTTTTTTTTTTTTAAATCAGAAAACTTCTTCACTGATAAGAAGCAATACAAAATGGGAGACAGGAAGGGAGGTTCCAGGAAAGCAAGAATATTCTCTTGCTATCCATGTCTTCCACAGGAGACACATAGTTCCTCTGAAGAGGAGGAGGAACAAAGATTACAGTGCACTTCTCAGTTCCCTGCCAAAATATAAGTAGGCCCAGAAGATGGTGAAAGTAACAACTAGCTGTCAAATCAACACAAGAAATAGGGTAAATTTCACTCTGGCAGGGACCATCATGAACATGTAGCTTTGTATCGGGGACATATGGAGAAGAACCAGAGCTAGCAGTGAGAAAATTGTTTGCTGGTGGTAGAGCTTTGTCAAAGAGGTAATCAACACTTTTTTGATAGAACAGAAGTGTGCAACGTACAGTTAAATTAAGGCCTGGGCAGAAAGTGGATTCCTGGCAACTCATTCCTGCCGTCAGTTTTCTGAGGATTTTTTTTTCATGTGAGCAAATGTCCATATCATGATGGGTTAGGTACTAACATTTTGTTCTCATGGTGGAAATACTAGTGGGCACATGCAGGCAGGGATGAGAGTTGCTGTAAAAACTAAAGAGGTGTTTTATCACAATGGTGTTTCTAGGGATGGAGAACAAGGATGTAGCATGGCAAGTTTAGAAGTCAAAGTAGCTCATTAGCAGGACAGGTACAGTAATTAATTCCAAAATACTTTTGATGTATGTGTTCAGTCCTGCCATGTGTCCCGCTCCCCCTGAAAGCATTAATGAAGTAGCTGTGAAGCAATTTCCACAGCTCCTATAACACTGCGGCATTCTCTGCATTGTGAGCTGTTTGGTTTCCCTAGAACAGGCCATAAACTACATCTGCTATTAGTGCACGTTGCTTTTTAACCTCTCTAGCTATGTCCAGGACATGAAAAGGCAGGAAACAGAAGCACCTAATCTGTTATCTGCAGTTGTCTCTTACCTTTGCTGCTATGAAGGGTTCTTGCAAAAAGGAAGACAGTACCAGTTGCTGCAAAAGTGAGGATTGTCAGAAGCGCAATCCACCAGCATGTCTGGAGGACAAAAAAAGAAACATTAAAGGCCAATTCTCTGCAGGCTGGACTCCAGAGGGAGTCTGGGAGTCACATAGCTTGGACCTATCAGGTCTTGAAGGTAGGTGTCTGCAAATCCCTTTCAGGTGATGTGTACTTTGTCATAGACCTTTGGAGCTGTCCTTCTGTACATACCCACTGATGATGGAACACGTCTGGGTGATAGATATCTAATAAGTTTTTTCCTGAATCTAAGTTAAAGTTTAAGCAAGAGGAATTATACCAATAGATGGGTGGTTTGCCAGACTCATATAGTTCAGCGGCAGCATTGTGTACAAGAAATTGTGAATCTCAGCACCTTCACCGTGCTTTAGTCTCTCCTTCCTACTGGCACTTTTGAAACTGGTCCGAGGTGGAAAAGCAAAATCCTTCACTGATGCTCATCTTCAAAGTGGCAGTGCCAGTCACGAGTGGTGTTCCCCAGGGCTCAGTATCTTCATTGATGATCTGGATGAGGGGATTGAGTGCACCCTCAGGAAGTCTGCAGATGACACCAAGTTGGGTGGAAGTGTTGATCTGCTGGAGGGCAGGAAGGCCCTACAGAGGGACCTGGACAGGCTGGATCGTTGGGCCGGGGCCAACTGTATGAGATTCAGCAAGGCTCAGTGCCGGGTCCTGCACTTCGGTCACAACAAACCCACGCAACACTACAGGCTTGGGGAGGAGTGGCTGGAGAGCTGCCTGGCTGAAAAGGACCTGGGGGTGTTGGTTGACAGCTGCCTGAACATGAGCCAGCAGTGTGCTCAGGTGGCCAAGAGGGCCAATGGCATCCTGGCTTCTATCAAGAATAGTGTGGCCAGCAGGACCAGGGAGGTGATAGTGCCCCTGTACTCGGCACTGGTGAGACCTCACATCTAGTACTGTGTTCAGTTTTGGGCCCCTCACTACAAGAAGGACATCAAGGTGCTAAAGCGTGTCCAGAGGAGGGCAACGAAGTTGGTGAAGGGTCTAGAGCACAAGTCTTATGAGGAGCGGCTGAGGGAACTGGGGTTGTTTAGTCTGGAGAAGAGGAGGCTGAGGGGAGACCTTATTGCTCTCT